GGGATTCCGAGGGCCGCGGATTCCGAGGCCGGAGCGCCGCGTGCACGGAGGCGCCGCTCGGAGCTGCCTCTCGGAACGCAAAGCAGAAAGGCACCGCTTCAGATCCCTTCGCAGTTTTGACTTTGCTGCTACTTAAACTTGGCCTCCGGCCCTGCTCCCGGCCGATTTCCACAGCTTTGGAAGCGTCGCTGCCGTAGGCTCCGCGTCGAGGTAACCCCAGGCTGTTTCTCTTCCCCGTCTTGGTGCACCGGGCGCTTTCCTGGTTCTCCTCATCCTTCCTCGCAGCTCGTTTCCTTGTTTTTCTCCCTGCTTCCTCCTGGTGTTGGCGTGCGTTGACGCTCCGGCTGTATTCCCGCCCGGGGGGGTGTTGAGCCATTCCCCGGAGCACGTCCGGATGCCGGCGGAGAGTGGGATCCGCTCCCGGCCGCGCGTGCGGAGAGGCTGCTGCTCCATCGGATCCGCTGGGAAGCCGGGCAGGGGGCTCCTGTAGAGCAACGTGCGGAGATGGATTAGTTGTTTTTTGTGGGAATATAATAATTTCCCAAGCAAATCTGCCAGTTTTAAGATCCCATCCTGGCCCAGCTGCTGGTCAGAGTGTTTGTACCCCTCAGTTGCCCTCGTGGGTTACAAATCCTCGGGATTTAAACGGGGTTTAAACAGCCGAACGCTCCTGTGCGCGGGAGCTGTGTAAAGCTCCCAGGTCCTTCTCCTGCTGCACGTGGAGGCTCCTTTCGCTGGGGAATCCTGTGTTGGATGCTCCACAGAATGTCCAAACCCTCCAAACGGGACAATTCCCCCCTGCGGGGGTTGTGGCGCGGGGGTGTTGGGAAGCGGGTGTTAAACGGCGGCGCAGAGGGGGGTTGTGGCCGCCTGTTCTGGCCAAGCGGGTGGGAAAAAAAAAGCCCCGCCCGCCTCGGTGCGCTGCGGGAGCCCCGGATCCCGAGGCACAAATGGGTCCTCGTGCCCGTCGGGGCAGCAGCAGGGATTTGAGGATGGATTTTGGCCACTCTGTTGTTCTTGGCGTTGGACCCACGGGAGCGGAGCAGCCCCGACGCTGCTGGAGCCCCGTGGAAGAGCCGCGGAAAAGGAGGAAACCCAGAGATGCGGCTTCTCCGGGGGTTGCTAAACGCCCTCCTGGCTCTTCCTGCTCGTTCCCCGTTGGGGCGAGTTGGGAAGCGGCTCTTTGGGCTCCCGAAGCCCCGGGCTTGGCACAAAGCCGGAGGCTCCCGCGGAGGGGCCGTGTCCCCGGGTGTCCTGACCCGTGGGGCTCCCCGGGGAGCCGGGG